ATCTGATAAAATAGTTAGGCGGTCTTCAGATAATATGCACATTATGTCTGGAATGGCAAAATCTAGACAGTTCATAGAGCACAATGCATAGAGCAGCACTCTATCCATTTACCCTCTCTTATCAGTGAAAGGCGCATGAAGGAATCACACCCTAAACAGGACACTAGAGCATCTCAGGGCACACAAACAAGCACAATGGGACAATTCCGACACTGACTGACTTAGGCAGCTTGTCTGGAACAAGGAAAGTTTTATGAGCACAGAAAAAGATATCCATAAAACCTGAATCATGTAATAACACATTAAATGTTGTACTGTATGGGAAAATACATGTTCCTAAATGCAGTAATGAAAGTATCTTTGGTCCAGCAAAAATGTTATTACTTTGGAAATTCCTCTACAAAGTTGCTCTTTCTCAACAAAATTATTTTAAAACATTAAATTATTTCAATATCTGAAATGGGCAATTATGCTTTTTGTTGTGTACAGTACATTATTTCAGTAATGCCTGAGAACATTTAGGAATTTTTGGAAGTGATCCTGAATGTCATTGGGTTTTCAAGGAAGCCGAACACACAAGCAAAACACTCATTATCACATCATCTTTGGTATGGACAGGGAATTGTCTGAAGAGCTCTTGTAAATGATTATCAATTTCAACTGTTTTGTGGACAACAAAGTGACAACAGTTATGCCTACCAACAAAAAGTTCAATGCATAAGTTTGGCACTCCAAGAAACAGTTAAATGGCAATTAACTGCTGGACAGTTAATTGGGAAATTGAGAATGATGGAATAAAACTGTGGAACTCACTTCATTCTCTTACCAATTGGTAACAACACAAAGAAAATCTGGTTAAAATTACTCTAGTAAACTGTCAGTTGTTGTGCTTTTGAGGAAATAAATCTCCAAAGTCTTATACATACCAATGGGTGGAACATGAAGTTGGGCTGCAACCTGTCAATAGGTGTTGCTTTCAACGTTAGTCCCTTTTTACAACCACTAAGGGGTCGCAGCAATCCTACAATCCTGTACTCCACAATTAAGAAAAATATTAAACCTGCTAATAAGTTTGGAGTTCCTGCCTCTACTGAAAAATGCAACACATCCAAATGATTCTTTCACAACCTATTATTTACTATCAATAACCAGTTGTTGACACCACCTTGTGCTATCATGACAAGCCCACCCTCTCCAGCCTTCACACTTATGGGTTTTACTGCAGTTGATACCTACCTACGTGACTGATTTGGAAGCTAATGAGACCAACTGGACCACCTGTGCTACCTGTACTTGGCTTCTTTGCTCTTTGTCCATATGTTACTAACCTCATCATTGAGTCCTTGAAATCTGGACCTCTGTACAGTAGGCTTAAACTCTGCTGTTACCACACCTGAGTAGAAACAAAAAATACCATACACCCCCACATACTTTACAATTTACAATATTGTCCTGTTTCTAACATGCCCTTCTTTGAAAAAAGTCTTGAGTGGACAGAAGAAGCAAAATTACAATTTAATTTAGCATTTAATGAGGCATCTGAAATGTTTCAGTGAGGTTTCAACCCTTGTAGAGGTAGTTAATTGTGCTGATGGCTTCTGACTCTGGGTTGCTTAAGATTCTTCTGCTTCTGGATTTAAAGGAGAACTCTAGTCCAGATTTTTTCAGACTGGTTATTAAATCTCAGTAACAAAATAAATTAACTGATGCTATTGGAATATTTTACAAACTCTGAATTAAAGAGAAACTGTGGTCCCAATTTCTCAGACAAGTTATTAAATATTGGTAACAACATAAATTAATTGATGGTATCCCAGAATTTTACAAAATCATGAACTTTGTAAAAGTACTGTGTGGTTGCCATGTTGTCTCACCATGGGGAAGAGCAAGGGCTTGTGAGAATTATATACATAAAACTAGCTCGTTCTGCTCACTAGTCACTGTAATGACTAATGTAATGTGATGTACAAGCAAATAAGTGCTGCAGACATTTCACTGAAAACATGTTTTAATATGATCTGCAGGCAGAGTTAACAAGTAAGCATTATTTGTTGGCAAAACCATCTCAAAGTCGGTATGTTGAATTCAATTCAATTGCACTCATTCGAATCGGCAGTCTAGTTAAAGTATCTAAAAAATGTATATATAAATTAATATAGTAGCAAAATTTGCTTTGGTCTAAAGCATGTGCTTTATTGAAACTGACAATATTTGAAATACAATCTTTTTCTATTTGGGATTGTGTATTGCAATTTTCTCTGCTTTGAAGTTTACATGATTATGAAGCCTGACAATTCGTAATATGAAATATATTTTCATTTCAGACACTGAAACAAAACGTGCCCAATCCAGGTGCCAATCCTACCATTTTGTCCATAAAAAGCAACCAATGAAAAAAGAACACAGTGAAAGAGTGATATCAGTGCTTCATACTGTATAAAAATAGAAGAAAATCTACAGTATCTTCACAATTTAAGTAACCTTTTTTATCATAATTATGATTAAGACAAGACCCAAATTAAGATCTGTTGAATGATATTCTGATAATTTGTTTTATGACTAAGAGCAATATTTCTATTGGATTAAAGGAGATGTATTCACAAGTGTGCTTGTTTACAATGAAATAGGACTGCTTCATGACACCGGAAGTTTTCTTGCCTCGTTCTGAATCACAGACAATTACGGCAATATAGCACTGTGCATACATGGAAATGTTGTCTGTTTTGTGATGTAAATTGGGGGTTTTACACGTTACTGTGTAAATTGTACTTTCACTGTGGTTTCAAATGAACTCATCATTACCGATTCTTTATAACCCTAATATAAAGAACTGTTGCAGTTCCCCTTTAAGGGCAGCTTGTTATATGGTCAAACATGCCATCCTACTAGAAAGCATGGAAAATTATCTAAGGATCACCAATCCTTTCCATGACTGCTTTAGCTCCTACTTGTCACCCAGGAAGAGATGTGTAATTATTGGCTGTTTTAAATCTGATGCTGTCCCACTTACTGTGGGTGTTCCTTGGGGTTCTGTGTGGGACCTTTATACTGTAGATTAGGATTTGCAAATTGACACTGGTAATTCAGATGAGTCATGTTGATTACTGAGACTTACATGCTGACCTAATCAGATACTACTACTGTGGTTTCTCAAACTTTATACAAAACCACCTTTGCAAAACTGAATGACTTGTTAAAATTGTGTATTTGTTAAATTTGCTCATCTCAAATACTTAATGGAAGTTAAAAAACTTTAATAATACTATTATCCTATCACTTGAAGTGTGAGTTAGAAATATTCAGAAGGTATCGTTCTTCCACCTTTGCAACACTGTGTATGACCCTATCAGTCTGCCCATCTGATGGTGAAATATGATACATTTACTGTATCAAGAATGCACTAATTAAATGTCTTATTTACTGAATCTTCTCAGATACGAATAATGCTTCTGGATATCTAAAAGTCTGCAACTTGTGTGCTAACTAAAAGTACTCTACATCAGGGTAATATAACTCCTGGTCCTTAAGACCCCCAGTCCAGCAGATGCTATAGGTACTGTATAGTACCTTCAAATGATCAATTTCTTAAGGTCTGGAAGAAATTAGCTATGATCAATTAAACATGTGGTGTGCTCAATTAACTAATTCAGAGATAATTGAGAATAAAAATCAGAATATCATTCAGCACTCAAGGACCATAATTCCCTTAATTAAAACACTGCTTGCTTACTTGCTTAATTGATTAACGACCAATAAGAATGATTGGATTGTGTTATGGAACAGATCTCCAGAACCAGGGTTGGACAGCTCTCCTATACTTCAATACTGTATATAACTCCAGTTTAATGCAAAACTCCCTGGAAAACGGAGAGTGGACTTTAAGTCACTGAATGGTCCAGCTTCAGGTTATTTTAAGATTTTGGAGTTTCACTGCAACTCTTAATCCACACTGTGTGGATTCAGGCCTTCTTACTCTACCAAAGACTCCGCCAAAGCTTCCCACATTGGGGGATAAAGCCTTCTCCCCAACACCTCATCTGTAAAAGCAAATGCCCAAACTATTCCAGACTCTGAGACTACTAGCATGTTTATGCCTTAATTAATTAGGTTTTTACATAAGCTTTTAATGGATAATTTAGTTTTACTAGGTAAATTATTATGCTTGCCTTTTTTTACATTTAACTTCCGTGATATGTACAGTATTATGTATGTGCTATTGCTCAGTGCAACGGGTTTCGTGAAGGGAGTTCATAGAAAATTTATTATTATCCATCCGTCTATCTGAGGTTGGCAAACACTTTATTTTCAACCCCCTCACAGTTACCTAAGTCAGTTTATGGTAACCTGTCACACTGGCACAGGGCATGAAGGTAAGGCGTGAAACACACCCTCTAAAATATGCCCTGTCTGGGCATTAACGTTCTTTTCACACTGTGAGCCCACTGTGGTCAGGGCTATAGGACAGGTGAAAGAAAATCTATCTGTCTTCAAGCCCATCCAGCTCCACTGGAGCTGAGACAACTATGACCCTCAGCTGATGACATGTGTCCTTGCGATTTACAAATGGGCTTTAGCGTACTCCTGATTGTGAAGGTGCATGTGTCACAAGTGACTGGACGGAATTTGGAGGATAGCTGTGTCAGCATGCAGCCTGCAAAAGAAAAACTAAAGACAACTTTCAATGGGATGAAATAGAAAGAGAGCAGCTGAAATGCTCTGTACTTCACTCTCCTTCATCTACCTGTCGGGGTGAAATTCCAGTACTTGTATCTTGATGGGATTTAGTCTACAATCTCTCCATCCATTGGGTTACAGCAGCATTGATAAAAAGAGTTTACCAATACAACAGTATCCTACTTTCTTAGGAATAGAAGCAACAAGTCAGTTTTACACTTCACTGAATTTGGAGAAGCCTTTCCTTATTATCTTTCTAAGGACAATTCTGAAAAATTCAAAAATGAGACAAGAATGCACGCACAATGTAATTGACGTGCTGTCTAAAGAAATTTCTTCAAATAAAAAAACAGCAGGATGCACACTCTTTACTCCATTATAACTTACAGTATTTTACATTGTCAAGATCAGGACATGCACATTTGGCTCAACTCAGATCTTATATCATCTAACATGAATTATCTGAAAAACATACCATGTTAAAGGAACCCTTATTTCCCAATTAAATAAAGTGGAGAGCTAATCAATTACTGCATAAATATACATCAGATAGCCTATTGAGATATACTCATTAGGACATTAAAACAGTCAATTAGTGTACAATGCCTGAAATAAAAATAATAATTAGATGTACAGTAGATATAATTGTATGTGAGAATATATGGAGATATAAACACATATTTGCATTTAATAAAATATTTCGGTTCTCACACAGCTTCAGATTCTGTATTACATCTTAGGTGAATTAAGATCATGATGTAAGGGTCTCAGTTCCAGTCCTACGGTACCCCTGAGCCTACTATTCTTTCTCTTCCAGGTGAACTGTCACTTCACTGAACACTGAATTAAACATATATCAGCCTTGATCTTCAGCGACCGGATATACGGTAGCCCAGTTACGTACTCAATAAGAAACTGAAAGCAAAGCTGGAATGAAGACAAAATAACTAAGATTATTTTGACCAAGACTGGTAGACTTGGACCACTGGACTAGTGCTTTTGCGTTTCTCTATTTCTTCATAGACAGAAGTAAAGCACAGCCTGTGCTCCATTGATTACATACAGGCAGCTGTCATGAAAGAAACACTCCAGCAGAATTTATCAGCATGGGCCATGTCACCGTAACAGTGGCCTGCTGTCCTTACAACAACCCTAGCCACTATTTTTGAATTGACTAATTTGTTGTCTCTATAAGAAACACAATATACAATAACACTACAAGAGTTTTTCTAGTTGAGTCTAAGCAAAGACGAGGAGACAAAAAGTGCTGAAATGTGTCCCTTTTTGTGAAAAGTGTCTTAATGTCCAGGCACAGTGCGGGAGACATTTACTCACTCTGTCACACAGCTCCTCAAATGTGCAGTCGGCTACAGTCCCACAAGCTTTACTCAGTCTCAGCTTTCTGCCTTGCACTTTCAGAATCCTTGGCCGGGTAACTATGGGAACACGAACAAAGGCTATGTCTTGCCTGGGTAATTACAACAACAATAAAAAAGAGGAAAAAAAAACATCTCTCAGCACTAGGAAATGCACGGCCTGATGAATAATAGCACATGATTCAACTAATAAATAAGACAAAATACTGATACAATGGCAGCCACTTGAGTGTGCGGCATCAACCCATGTTCACCAATGGAACTTACTAATTGGTCAGCGGAGATTGGGCATTGTGTTCTAAATGTATGCTCTTTCAAGAGAAATTAACTTACGTACTATCATTTTGTTTTTGAGCCAGCTCATCAAACAGCTTATCCATGACAGCCTCCACATCAGCTTCACTTGTGCTACAGTGAAAAGAAGAATAGAATATGAAATTAATAACACTTGAAGCCAACATCAAACAGCTGCTGGGGCCCGCTTAGCTTTTTGCCCATCAAAAAAAGAACAGGATGTTATACTCTAAATACAAACATTAGATTTAGAATACACATTAAAAGCAGGGAATAGTAACTCTCAGGTAGATGATTCTGCCTTATTTGCATACACTGAAAGACGTCCACACTTGAAAGCTGAAGCCAGTAATGAGGCAATAGAGGCAAAGCAAATCCATTAATGCTATGTGTACACAATGAGAAGAAAGGCCGCTGCTTTTCTCCTGCATGCAAAATAAGAGCAAATAGGCAAAACAGTCAAGCATCCGAAGCAGCCACCTTTGAAATCTGCTCTGAAATGGTGTGCGAGTGTGCGTCCGCGCTTTGTGAGAGTAACAACGGAACTCACCCGCTTTTCAAATGAAAGTTACTCGCCTCAGAAGTTACATATTCATGGTTTTGCCTTTTTAAGCATGATTCACCAACCAATCTCCTTTAAAGGCCAATAAAAAACCTCGTATTTTAGTAACATTAAAGTGACAAATTAGAAGAAAAAAAAAACCCGACAATCACACCTCCGGCCGAGGTGTGAACACTCTGAATACGGCAATGCTCTCTGTTGAACTGGGGTGCTTTCTGCCAATCCGATCTGGAAGGCGCTTTTAAAATTCATGTGCGAAAGACCGAAGGTTCAATTGTGCCAAATGACTGATCGGGACAACTGCTGGTTTTTCTGGATATATCTACAGCGACTGGGCACCATGAGAATCGGTTGTGTTCAAAGCATCAGCTCTGTGTTCTGTTGTGACCCCATGAAGTTATGGGTAGAGGGCTAATAACCCTCCCAAGAAGGTTTATATCTTCTGGCTTAACAGAGGGAGGAGCTCAAGGGCTTAAATGAAAGCTATTGACTAGTGTCGCCTAAAGCGTTACCCCACACAGAGTTCTCTGAAAGTAGACTGAGAAAGAAACTAATTGATACTGATGCCTAAGAGTTAATAATTCGTTTTCCATTGAGCAATTAAATAATATCAAATCTGCTTGAAAATTAATCGTCAATTTAAAGCAATGCTCTTGTGGGGCGTGTTGTAATTAACATTATTACAAAGGTTCTTATAGAGAGTTTGTTTCATTTCACTTTTTTAGTGACACAAATATTTGAATTGTGTTCATCATAAACACAGCACAAGTCTGAAACTTTTTTGTTTTAAGAGTCACCTCAATTATTATATTGGGAGTGACAAGAGTTTGGGTATTCACCAGAAAAAAAAATCTGTCTATAAATACTTTCCCTGAAAGTGTTGGGTTTTAATTGTCTTGCACAACAAGCCGACTTTCAAAGAATGAACAGCAGCTCGTGGAGGACAGAAGATCTCAGCTTGAGTCTGGTTTTCATATTATCTTTTTCTCCTCATTTTTTTTTCCTTCATTTTGAATGTGGTCCTCTATTTAAGACCAATCATCTAAGCCAGGACTATCACTGCTGTGAAAGCTGTGCAAATTTGTTAGAAACAGGTTATATACCCAAGAACTGTACATATAAAAATAAGGAATTATTTCATTTACCTGTTTGTGCAGATAATCTGGGCAAATTAGTCTAAGAATTGCGTAATGTGCGTAAGGTTTAATGTGTGTTGTGTGCTCAAAAATGGAAAAACACTTTGCCTTTCTTACTTTTGACGGGCAACTGAAATCACCTGATATGCACTATTTAAGATGCAGTGCCACTTCGGTGGATATTACAGATATCTTCAGGCATTTATTGAGAGTCTTTCATTTAGTGTAGGCGATTTGTTTTCCTGTTTCTCAGCTGGGCCCTTTTGACAGCCCTATAATACATGAGCTGCAATATAAGAACATTTATGGATACTTTAAAAAAAAAGACCTGACTAAAATTAAAGAAATCCTAAATAACGGTGGTATAAATGGGATATTCATGGTATGGTAAAGTTTTTCTTTAAAACAAAACTGGAATGCTCAGACTGCTGATTTTAAAAAGGCAGAGAACAAGTGCATTAGCCTACACTGCCATCCAAGGAAAAGCCTTCATGAACATGGGGCACTTTTCTTCCCTTACCTCACACACGACACGCAGGGCCAGCTCATTTTGCAGGAAGGACACCTTGAAGGAAATCTAGGTTGCCACTGTCCATGGTGTTGGTGCACCAGTAGGTGGCGATCTTCCCTCCAGAATTGTCAATAAAATCTGAATCTCAATCTAAAGTTCCCTCTTAATTAATCCAATTGATCAAGCAATTTCTCACTTCTGTCCCTGTGCTGCTGTGTAGCAGGACTGCTGCCAAGCAGTAGCTTACCCTGCTCTTTGGGGCGGAGCGTTGGCATTGTGGCTATGTATCTGCGCCTGTGGCTGGAAGGTTGCCGGTTCAAATCCCACATCTGGAAGAGGAATCCTACTCCGTTGGGCCTCTGAGCAAGGCCCTTAACCCCAGCTGCTCCAGGGGCGCTGTACAATGGCTGACCTGCGCTCTGACCCCAAGCTTCTCTCTCCCTGCCTGTGTGTCTGTGTCTCATGGAGAGCAAGCTGGGGTATGTGAAAAGACAATTCCTAATGCGAGAAATTGTATCCGGCTAATGAAGTGATCTCTCTATGTGAAGTGTGAAGTGCTTTGGTGGCATGAGAGCACAGAGTAATTAAAAATATCAACATATATATGTACAACTCACAGGTAGTATAGCTTTCCTGCGGTGGGCATGTGTCTTTTCCGGTAGTCTATTCCAGAGTCCAGCTGCAGTGTTCGGCAGTGCTCCTTGATATTAAAAGAAGAAAGTGAGTGGTGAATACAGTGCGTGTTGGTAATGGAGACTGGGTCTAGACAGATCTCAAGTTCAAGAGATTTTACAGAGAAGTCACTTAAAGTTAACCATTTTTAGCAATGCTGTCAGTCACACTGAATTAGACAGCATTTTCCCTTTTAGCCATTGCGCCTCTTGTGAATTGTCGCCTGTCTTTGAAGAAAAAATCCTGAGAAGTTAACCCCATTAAAAAAAAACTATTTTATAACAAGTTAATGGGACAGACAAAATATGTTTCATATGACAGGAAAACTAGTGCACATCGCAACTACCAAATGTGAATCAGTATTCAACAACAGTACTGGCAAATTATGGAATCAGTGAATTTCTGCTATCATCCTCCTTGATCTGAGAATAATTAGTAATCACTACAAAGCTAGAGGACCGAAATATTCTATTCTCCTGTGCTGTCAACTTTTACCTTGATCTATGCTTAAATGAACAGAGTTCTCTTTCTGAGGCAATTTGTTGAATCAGGCATAATTACAACCTGACATGCTCTGAATTGCAACACAAAAGGAAATGTCATTTCATCAACCTCTGCAACCTTGCACCATTCTGGGATGTAAATAGTTTTAACGCCACATCGCAATATCAGGTAATGTACATTCTCTTTTGTTTCACGGACTATATAGCTTGACACAAAATGCATTACTTCACGGCCTATGGAAGAAGCAACACAATCAGTCATAATTTCATCTGTTATTTATAATCAGATGTGCTCCACAGAGTCTTCATGCATCATTACTTGATTGTAATTTTATTGGGTTCATTAAAACTTTATACCCCTTGCCGATTTATTTTTTTCCCTGCCTTTTGCACATGACCTAACACAAGAAATGAACCCTTTTTAAAACCGTTCTAATCGTGCTTAGTGCAGTATAAAACGTATTAAAACAAAAGCGGTCCGGGGCGTCCAGCCTTCTGATGAGAGGGATGCCTGTCCTGCTATACTGACATTAGTATGAACAGAGGACGGTTCTGAAGTTACATGAGAACACAGGTCAAAGAAACATGTCTTCTGATTACGTTTCAGTCAGATTTGAGACACTATGGGAAGCTCACAGGCTCCTTCTGTCATTACTGATGCAGTGGTTACCAGATTACACCAGTGCAAGCAACACTCGCTCCTTACAAAAAAAAATCCAAGCAATCTGACATAATGGCAAAACATTTTAAAATGCAACCTTGCTGTTCGCGATATTAGTAATTAATTTAGTAATTTCAGACAGAATTCTGTTAGGTTTAATATAGGCTCACATAGCGTATTCAGGTCAGGTAGCACTACTCAGGTGATCAACATTTAGTATATCCTCTGCTAGTCACCAGAACACACACAGTGCACCATAGACTGGCAGAGACACTTCTAAAGTGTCTGAACCAGAACAATGTTCTAATTTGTCTGTAAAACAACTTTGAGATTACCAACATTATCTGAATGCATTTGCTTCTCTTTGACATTAAGTGTCTATCCAACTCATTCCACAGGGAAATGAAAAGGTGACGATCTGGTGGCACAGAGGACCTGTGGATAAAGTTGATGTCCCCTCTGTGTGGAAACACATTATTGTGTTGAAAGATTAAAGGATGCATTGATGTTGTTGCTGTAACAACAGGTAGAGCAGTAATGTCAGCCTAATGCTTTGTGAAGAGAAAAGTTGTCTTTTAAAAGTTGGCATTAATGGACCCCCACACCATTACACTGCTTCCACCAAAGCAATACGATGGCCTATGTATGGGTTTATATACAGTATACAGTATAGCTAGATAAGACACAGAAAAATGATTCATCTGAGATTTTTTTACCAGAAATCAAGTGAGGTGCCATCCATACTGAAGGACAAAACGCACAAGGACACAAGTCACCCAGCTCTGAGACTCTGCGTCATGATGTCCGTTTGTCTTTCTATATTCTGGAGGTAGCAGGGATCACAGAAATGATGCAGGGCTGCTAACACAGTGCACATATATCACTACATCTCATTGTATCACATTCAATTGGGTTAATTAGTTAGACTTGCAAAATTCATAATTAGGACTAAAAATGTAAAAATGTTTCTAAAATGGGTCAATGTGTACATATAGTGAGAAGAAGAATACTGAGAGAAAAGATTCACAGATTAACAGATTTTTATCAAATCTCCAAAAAGAGACAATGGGAAATATCTATTGAATCAAAGTGATTAATTTAAATTTGACAAATTTTACAAATCTACAACTAAGCTTCACAACCAGCAATACAATAACACTCATTTATGTTAAAAAAATAACCGATGCTGTTAAAGCATTGTGTAAAACCATGTAAAGTCAGGCTTTTTGAGGTTTTTACCAGTTTCACTGGGTTTTACTGAGAAGGCAGTGTTTTGCAGGATACACACACACACACACATCAGCAAAACTTCCCTAAGGCACTGGCAGTAACAATCTGGCCCTGGTCAGTTTCCTTAACTTCACCATATTGAGCCATTGACCAAACAAATCCACACCAGCCTGGCAAACCCTAATATAATCAAACTCTGAGCCGATGCCATTGCCTAGAAAAGAGCAGACCTGGCTGGACTGTCCGACAGGGGCATACAGAAGCTATTGTTGTTTTCTTTTGCAAACACGCTGAACACAGTAGTGAGGTAAAGTTGGAAGCAGGGATTTCCAAACTAAGACCGAAGAGAGAAAACCAGAAATAAACAAAATACAGTTTTGCACTGCACACAGACGCAATGCTGTAAGGATACAAGATGAATCTTTCAATTCAGAAATCTTAAAGGAGTCCAAATGCTAATAAAAACACAGCCAAAATCATGAGAACAAGTCTTTAAAAGTCAGCTTAATGCACATTTTTCAACTTAGGGTGCTCCTGATTGTCCGGACTTTCTGAACTGCAATTAAACGTAATAATGAGCCTTTTTTTTCTTCTTAAACTAAGATGCTTTCGAGTTTGGAAGAAAAAGAGCCATTGAGCTCCAACAAAAGCTAAGGATAGCTAACTATTTTGCTCTGATGAGGTCCACTGCCTCATTACTAACAGCAGAAAACATTTGATGCTTTTTTTGTTTGGGAGAGAATTGACTAGCCTCAAAGAACTTGGGGTGGGAAGCTGTAAAAGAGAAGGGGGAGTGAGGGGAGAGAGGGGAGGTTGTAGTCCATTCACCAGTTTGTGTCTTACAGCCACTGTGAAGGGGAAAGAAAGGAAAAGAAAGCTTAAAACACTGCCTTTATGCTGCCAATCCAGGACGACTCCTCTTACATCAAAGTGTTTTCACTACCATGGCCTTCTCTGCTAAACGTATTCAGTCCAGGGACAGGGAAGCAACAATGCATACACACTAATTATGCCTAATTATCTATTCCCTTTAAGTGTGACCAGCTTCGGCCAGGCCTGTTTGTTATATGGGTTTCTCACAACCTCCCCCCTGCCCTGTCCGGTGCTCTTAAAGAAACATCTTTTGAAAGCTGTTACTGCCTTTAGTCAACCACCCCCGGCCCCCCTGACCTCCTCACTCCTCAGTGTCTCTCCACTCCTGGATGAGCCTCACCTGTGCTAAAAGGCTGACTGTTCTATTATTAGCAGCAACTGAGATGCATGTAAAATATAAGGACTTCCTTGTTAATTTGGCAATTCCCAACTGTGCTGCCAGCACAGGAGCCTCTGAAAAACAACCCGTCCTGTGGGTCTTGTCCTCTTGCTTTCTTTTCATGATCTAAATGAGACGTTTATTGGATTAAAGTTCTTCTCTGCGGAGCTCCAAGGTGGCCTGGGACAAAAAGCTTAAAATCTCACTGGCTATACTAATTGCCTTGGGACTTCCAAGCGAAAAAAAATGATTTCACATTACATCAGAAGCTGAGCTCATGGAACTTTAATAGGATTTGTAATCGGTTTCCTCTCCTGTTTTCACTCTCGAGAGGTGAAATTTCAGAATGGCACCGTTAACGCACAGAATATCACATGCAATCAAATGCTGTGGCATGAAAACTAATATAAACAGAAGAAAGCAACAACAGAAAAGCCCATCAGTAAGAAACATAGTAATGCAGTTTCAGCATGTGACTTGCGCAGTGCTAATCTTTTTTCCTTTTTTGTGTTGAACCTTCACTCACTTAACATTGGTTTGTGGAAAAGAAGACCTTCAAAGACAAGCAAACATCAATTTTGTGCTTTTCGCTTTCTCATTACAGACCGAGTTTAACTTGATTCTTGCTTTCTTCAAGCAAGCTGACGCAGCAATTAATACTCACAAAAGAGAAAAGAACAAATGAAAGAAAGAGCCCACAGATACTTGAACTGAAGTACGGTTATCATATTTCCGACATAATAACATAATATTGTAGACTACCGCCCATCAAAAGGTAAAATAAAAAAGTCAATTCTTTACTTGGGTTTGGAATACAAAACATGACCCTGAGCAGTCAAATGGAATAAACAGGGGTCTTTAGAAAAAGAAGAAAAAAATACCCAATGAGATTTAATAACATGTTCGAGTTCTAAAAATCCATGTGTCTGAAACTACCAACTTTAAGTCCCACTGACAGATGCTTCACGTAGCATACAGTACTCCAAATATGAACGCTTGCCGACACAGTATGCGTAAAGCACCAACTAGGATGAAGAAACACTAGATGAGCACAGAACGATGCCTAGACTTGTATGCACTCCTGTAATTGCTCTCTGAGTATTTCAAACACCTGGCACATGCAAGCCTTCTAACACTTATTGACAAGTCTTACTTTAAATAAGGACACTAAACAATATTAACATTTTATTATCTTTTTATAGCACCGATCAGCTAATGTACAGACACCAGGATTATATCTTCATCCAAAAGTCTTAATTAGCTGGTGAACAATAGGAGAAAGTTAGGAGGATGTGTCTTCTTTTTTTTTGTACGTCTCCTTAACACAGCACCAGTTCAAACAAAAGCCCATAAGCCCATGCTTTTTACTGTACATCTCTTTGTTTGACAGAACAAAAGTGATTAAACAGCTGCAAATGTTTACACTAACATTTAACACTTGTTTAACTCCAAATGAACTTAGGTTCATTTAACTGTACGTCACAATTATTTAAATCCACATTTTCAAAGATCAAAAAGACAAAGACATCTTCAAATGTTTCAGAAATACATTTGCTCTGTTAAAGGTTTTTAACTCCTGGTACAGATAGTCGTATTCTTCCAAATACTATATTTTTCACTGAAGATGTACTGTAGGTCCTCCACCACTAATTATATAAAAGGAATGTCTCCTGTCATAATGAATAACATACTACAAAGGATATGTGTTTTTGAATACAAAAAAGAAAGCAAATAAAGAAATGTACAATATTGATTCTAACTAAGTAATCTTTAAATGGATCACACTTACTGTAAGTTAAGTAAAAGGATCTTATTAACTTCAGCAACAATTTATTACTGGTTTAAAACCACAAATCTAACAACAAAAAATCGATCCTGGATTCTGAAACAAGGTATGACATAGTGCTGTTGATAATTTCAAATTAACTATCCTTTTAAAGGTAACTAATAACTAAAACACGATAAAGATGCATTTTCACAACACATTAATGTCAGTAAAGAGATGTGTAGAAAATGAGATGTTCAGATTTTACCAGTGCTACATGTGCAGAACTGCTGAAGATCCGTGTTTTAATTTGTATTATTAACTCCTAGCGGTATAATCCCGGATTAACAGAGAACAAAGGGCACATCATTTCCACAGGAACAAGTGACACAGAGATACGGATTCAGGCTCTTTCTGCCCAACATATCAATGGTTAAACAGATCAAGGCCCCTCAGCCTCACTTTACTCCAGGTTGATTTCCCATTAGCCTCTCTACTTCTCTCCTAACCACTAATCATGGTGATTTACCACAAGACTACTTCATTGTGACTGAAATCATTTTCTGCCCAGTGGGAACTCCTCCTCCACACACCTCTTTAGAACAAGCCCTCTGCGGCAGCAGCATTGTGAGGCTCTAGAGTGGACGGCGGTCCTGCTGTTCCTCCTGCAATTCTGGTAATAAAAAGTCAATTGATAAGTAAAGACATCACTAGGGGGATTAACCCTGGCACTCCAGCTCAGGTGACAGCTGAGCAAAGGTCAGGGGGGTCCCGGCACTGACCTCGGGGCCTGGCCCATGGCTATTCACGCCATAGAAATGCTGCTGCATTTTCGGGGTGTTACGAAGCCGCAGCCTGACAGCTCTAATTTTATCAATTAAAGTACACCGCTGAGCAAAATGGCCGCTTTCCACTACAATTGGCACTGCTAGAATAACCCTGTGTTACTAAAACAGATGGCACGACAAAGGGAACATGGAAACATGACGGGGCTTTAAAATGAAGTAAAATAAAAACAGAATGAAAAGCATTAATTATTTCAATCAACGTGGATTAAAAGACACTCTAAAAATGACTTCTCCAGGCAATCAGATTTATATACCGAGTTATCAAAGAAATAAACTCCCAGTGTGCTTTTCAAAATTCTGTAATTAAATCTTGCTAGGAATCTGCATTTGCCCTGCATTGTCGAGAAAATCAAAACTGCCTGTAATTTCTTCAGAAGCAGCTCATAATTAAGGGCCATTTAACAGTGATTTAGACATATGTTGAGACATTTGGTGCCACAATTTGTTTCTTTTCATAATGCTGTACAAAAGGTAGCTCACTTTGAAAAAGGACATGGAAGCACAATTGATTCAGCTTTTATGCCGCATTTTACTTCGTCTGGCAAAGAGCTCTAAGTGAAACACTTGTATATCTATTACCAGGGGTACAAAATGTGCTAACAAATTACACCACTGTATCATAAAAGTTTTAAAAGCTAAAACAAAAGATGTGCAGTTATCTAATTTCATTTCTTAAATTTTGTATTTTCTTAAAAATTTTTATTTACTTAGAGCTGGCCACCAACAACACAGAAAGAGATTTTTATATATATAATGTGACATGTTTTGATGAGATCAAAATGGTCAAGCAATTAGAGAAAACTTGGCATGTGAAAGAAAACAATAAAAATATCTCTTCTAAATGTGGAAAAATGTTTTATTTGTGAAAATTCATACTACTCAAGCATAAAACCGTGATTTATCTACTAAGCAATGATGTGTAATGATGTGTAGAAGCAACAAGCCATATAAAGATAATAAAAGCTTAAATTAATATAATTAAATTGCAAAGCTCTGGATCACATTGCTACACCTTCTGCAGCTCACATGCTCTCTAACTTTGAAATGCAAGCAGGCTAATAATTCCCCAGACTAGCCAGCTCTTTACAGGTGCTACTTATTTCCTGTTTTAATTACTAGCTGGATTGTTATATTAGTATCCCAGGGAAGATCAAAGAAATCCTGCAAACCAATATTATAGTCAGATGGAAAATGCATAAAAACATGACTTTTCATTACCTTCAGCACTGCAATGAATGGCACAAAGTTAGCCCTCTGAAGCCCATTTTTATACAGGTCTGAAAGAGAAAATTTGTATTAGCCTTGCTGTTTAGCCTTAATAATGTCATTTTTCCCTCACAGATTGGCAAACAAAGCCTCTATTGAGAAAAAACATGAAGAGAAAACAAAGGAGATGAGGAAGAGTAGAAATCGATTTCTCTACTGGCAACACATGAAATTCATTTCATTCGCAAACAATGATTGAGAAAGAAAGGCTTTGCTGAACACACAGCATCTAAAGGCCGAATGAAAGGGGAACTCAATTAGCTCTGTAAAATGCACTGCATTTGAAATGCAGTACCACAAATACAAAACATCATCAAGCTGCTTTCTACAAATACTAGCTGTTGGTGCTTGTTCGAGTCAAAAAAGTTGCTTAAACAAGGGAGTTTTATTAATTAAATAAGGGTATTTTTTATAATATATAAAATTCCACATTGATCCTAAAAGTCAGTGACAATTTGGCTAATTGTATCATTGTAAATTGAAATTGCATCATATTCATTTCATTCTGCTTATATTTCCATACTGGTAAATAGATGAGATTGACTCGATAAGGAATTTCCAAAATCTGCAAAAATATTTTATGTGAAGGATGTAGCAAACATTAATCTCAATTTACGCTAAAGCTAAATTGGATTTCTGAACTTGACACAAACTGCAGCGTGCATACTGATGTCTGCAACAAACGAAAGCATTTATTCATTCACTGATATCTTAATATTTGAATAATGGCCACTCTGCTCTTTAATAAACTATAGTATTCACTCAGAAATGAAACAGATATAATGTAAGTTGACTATATTTTCTTTATGTTTAAATGTATTCATCTAAATATTAATCATGGACTGATTACTACTTCAATGGTTTTAATTCCTAATACACTTTTGTTTTAAAAATTTTTTTTTTGCTACAGTGTATCTATGAATCTATATAAACAGTGCTCAGAATGTACAGGTGTACCTAGACATCTCTCAGAAGGATATATGATTTTGGTTTCCCTTCGTAAGGAAGGTTACTAATCTTAATTGTGGAGTTATCCACTGAATAAAGCTTAAAGACATACTATACTATGTAGCAACAACAAAAACAGCACAAAAGATTTCCACCCCTCTCTCATGACTGTCTGGCACAAACCACACCTGACGTTCTGTGCAGAGCAGTCTGCTAGAGTTGATCCAATATTGACAACACGCATAATAGTATTTACTATGCTTTGCAAAAATCCCACACAAGTTGTTGGGCACTTCTATTTTGTGTTAATGTGTAGCATTTCAGTTTCTGAGGTTTTAATACTCAGTGTGAAGTTAATTCATGCTGACCCTAAAAAAATAGTCAGCACCAAAAATTAAATAGAAGAGCTAAATGTTTCACATTTTAAAGCACATGTGAAAAATAATGCGCTCTGTTTTTTTAAATACATTTGTTAATTTCGCCATTAGTTTGTTTGGTGGTACTGTATATAACACCCTTAGTACTTTCATTATAAATCTGTTTGTGCAAAGGTCTAAAACACCTATTTCAACCAGTCTGAGCCAGAGGTTGAAAGTATTAACAGATTGAGACTTTGACACAATGGCATGGAGACCAAGACAACTGGAGGTTCTATTCTGGTGCAGGCTTCATTCGCCTGAACAGCCGTTGAGATATTGAGATACTTCTGGTGGTTCATCATTTTTAAACTGTTCTGCCATGGAGGACTCAGTTGCCCCTGTTTGCTGGGAATGGAGGACACAGGAAACCTAGCAGGCCTTCATGGTAACTGAAGTGGCTACGAGGCTGAAGGAGTTTCTTCTCCATAACCCTGTTAAAAACAACCCCACAGTACTTATTATCCAGGTTCCACAGTGGGGACAGGGGGATTGACTTTGGAATCTACACAACACCAACAACAAAAAATCGCCTAAAAAAGTTGCCTAATTTGTTAATGATAAAGATATTCTGACCTGAATTTCAAAGGCCAATAAAACTCATTTCAAAACTGGTTTTCTGTAACAGCAAACTAGCGTGCCTCTCTAAATTACAGCTACCAGACTTGCAGGGCCACCAAACGCTGGCTAAGAAACTCATCTGTGGTGTTAACTCTCAAAAAACATTCTTTTTTCTCTTGAAAAGCTCCGTTTGTGATCAGATCTGTGTTGAAGCAACTGAAATCCATAACTGTCTTTTGTAATTATGCTTAAGAGTAAGTTAACCAATAAATCACCTACTTTAGAGCCATGGTTCAACCCTAAGGTATAGATATCACAGGTTTTCATCTAGGCTATCTTGTTAACTGGCCATGACCTGGATCTCCAAGTGGTGGAGCATAACTGTCCACATTAACTGTCCAAATCGTCCACTTCACTAGGGTCCTGAGTTAAGTCAGTATGCATTTCCACAGGGTGCCATGCAGCAACGTCACCTGTGGATTGCCTCACATACATGGTCTGGAAGTACCATCAGAGAGACCTGCATCAGGCTCTCTTCAAGGCTAACTCTACAGTGGGTGATGTGGACCTTGCAGCATGAGCAATGGAAGGAGGTGAGCTTCTACTTCTACATGGTGCTCATTCCTCTTGTGTTGACATGCGTGAAGTGACAGGCAGCCAAGCCCACTGATATGGATTCCAGAAATATAAAACTGATTCCAGAAGTATACAAATACATATATGTTACAAATCCAAAATGTAAACAATACATACAGTTGGAGGTATACTGTCTTGTGGATGATGGTCTTTAAAAAAAAAGTCCAAATGATAAGCAACACATTTTATTAAATTTGGATTTGATAATATGGTTGCTGCGATGTAATCACTGCTAGAGTCAATATTTATTCAGTGATGAAATACTACCACCCCCCAGAGATAAAAATTCAGAAAGTAATATGTCAGCTCATCATTTTAATCCAGCTGTCTAGGATGTTAAATAAGTGTGCAGTCAAAACTAAAGAGAAGGCAACATCTGATTATGATGGCAACATTTTTTGTGGGCACTACTGTCATGTTACCTAGAAATCCTGTACTTACACTTTTATATTTGGCTGATGCTTTCATCCAAAAAGACTTACTTTTGCACCTGGATATTTTACCTGAACAATCAGAGTGAAGTACTTTGCTCAAGTGTACAACAGTAGCATCTGACATGGGACTGGACGCCTTCATATATTATGATGTTACTCTGTTTCTAATGCCACTCCTGCTTGCCTGCAATTTATTTAGCAAATAGTTGTAAACTGTAATATGGTTTATATTAATAAATCAATACCAACTGTAACCTTATTCATTTTTGCTTCTCATCCAGTTTCATTTATATACTTTATACAACTTACAGTACTGCTTTGAATGTTCAAAAATATTAAAATATAAAAAAGTATAATAATAAAAGCTCTGAAGGCACTGATAGCATTTTCTAAAATTAACAACAATTTTAAAAAGTGAAACACAGTAGCCTTCTGAAAACAAGCAAATCTTCAGGGTCTGATGTTATTCTAACAACAATACTGAAGAAAAACAGACACTTTTCATAGGCCATTAATAAAATTCTTCCAACAGTCACTCAAGACAAATTTAAAATACATAGACTGGAAAACGTTTAATGTGGAATTCATCCACAAAAAAAGGCAATTAAACCAAATGAATTACAGACAAATATTGTAAATCTTATTTTTACATTTCAGTTTATGGAAAGAGTATCATGAATACAATATAGGATCTTCTGTATGACAATAGGATCCCAGGGGATCTTGAACATGGATTTAGAAAACTAAGTTTCTCAAACTTTGAACAAGGCAATAATGGATACAACCAGAGCTTAGGATGTGGTTCATTTAGATCTTCAGAAGGGTTTTGATAAGTTTCCATATAAAATATTAATTCTGAAATTCAAAGCAACAGCTAGATAAGGTTTTTGGATGGAGGTACTGGTTAATTGTTAGAAAACAGAGTACAGATCAGAGTGAATGATGAGATTGGCGTGATTTAATTAGCAGAGTGCCACAGGTACAGCATCTGTATTAGGAGTACTCCTTTCTAGTTTAATCTTCCTAATTTAATCCTTAGTCATTAAGGACCCCATGGCACTTTATAAAAGAGTAGAGGTGTTAACCCTAATGTCTCATCGCAATTCAACTCTATGCCTTTACAGTCCGGCAATCCTAAAATTCCCCTTCATTCAACTGAAGAAGCAGTTTCTTATAACTCAACCTAATCTGTGGAGTGGTGGTGCTGCACATACAATAGCTGATGTGTGTTACCCAGGTGAAAGCTGCACTTTAGTGTAGGATGTGAATCCCCTCTTATATCCCTCTTCCTATAGCACTACACCTACAGAAATGTAAGGATTTAGCATTATTACAACTACAACTGCTACTACTACTATCACTACAACAGCGGTTGTGGTACAATGGAACAAATTACCCACTGGATGAGATCCTTGGCCAATGAACTTCTAGAGTCCAAACAACCTAGATGGGCCAAATGGCCCCCTCTCATCTACAGCCTTTTCTTGTGATCTTATGTTGCATTTTCTTTAGGCATGAAAATACAGAGTGTATGGGGTTTGCAGTAGTGCTTAGGTAGCTGAGCATAACCCTCCCCTTGCAAAAACATTGGAAATCTGAAGTGTCCACAAGACTAATTTGGTGAGGCTCAGCTGTTGACATGATTAAATATATAAGCCGGTAGTAAGGGCTGCTGGTCTTGTGGCTGTTGTAATGTGGTTTGCTGAAGGGGTGACAGGTAACCTTAAGGCACCTGTGTTATTCAAATGGTATTCCCCAGACTGTTGGCAGAGGCAGGGATTTGACACAGATTAAAGCCTAAACACTGCTGAAAGCAGTGAGAGGTGCAAACAGATTCATAGCTGACATTTTGGCTTTTTCGAAATGCCAGGTATTAGAATTAAATCAGCTTTGTATGTAAATTGGGAGAGTTGATGATCAACTATGTCTACTTCAAGCAATGCACAATTTAAAAACTCGATATAAGCTTTGAAAAAAAAAAAAACAGCCAAAAGAGTACTTGGGATAGAAGGACCAACTAAGGACTTCTCAAAGTTCAAGTGCAACCACATAATCCACTTATATGTCCTGATGTCACCTTGCAAATACACGTGCAGATGGAATTTCTAAGCCTTTCATATAATGTATACCTTACTATGAAGTGGTTATGTATTTTTTCATGGTTTACCTAATTAATTATAAAAGCTCTTTATTAAGTTCTTATGGTTCACTTCTTTTTTTCTGATTATTAAGTGATGTCAGGAAAACTTCTCTGCATAAAACACTGTATAAGAGGCAGGGCACTTGAATGTCAGAATATTAGCATCCTCTAAGAAGATGTAAGAACATTATTCTACTGCCTCTCTTAAATATGCATAACAGCGTTCACCCTGGACAAACAGATATGTTAATTAGACTTGCCCAGGTTTTCAACTGTGACACTTGAGGTAAGCTTTGAAAGGGAATATTCAGGCTGGCACATCTGCAGAAACCTTCATTTTAAAAGGGATAGCTTAAATAAACAATCACTTTTTTTCGGACAGGGTGGAGAGGCAACAGTAAAGAAGTATGCTGAGATGCTGATGTTTAAAATTCAAAGCCTTTACTACGTCACATTTTCATTTTAGTTTTTTTTTCTATACTTCAACGGAGTGAACACCAATTCATTCTTGTTTTCAAAAACTCATTACTTTCTGTTAAATTAAAGTTGAACAATAACAGGGCCTGGTCAGTACTTGGATATGAAACTTGGGTATTGAAACCTAGGTTTCATTTTAGAGCTATAACGTGACAGAAGTAAAAGATATTTTTTTATATTTAGGATAATATTATCATCAAATAGCATAAATTAACAATATGGTTAAATGATACATATATAAAGTGTATTATGTACTTCAGTGAACACAAAATCATACCTTGGTCATTTATAAACTAGGGCAGCAACAGTTTATTATACAAGAACATCCGTCTTCTTTTGGCTATTAGTTGGAACAGCGTGGCTGTATCTGACAGCTTTTGTTAGGTAGCAGCCTTAAAACTTGTAAGCTGATCTGGCCTCACTGAAGTGGCACTGTGGCTAAGGATCTGCGCCTGTGGCTGGAAGGTTGCCAGTTTGTATCCTGCAGCTGGCAGAGGAATCCTACTCCATTGGGCCCCTGAGCAAGGCCCTTAACCCCAACTGCTCCAGGGGTGCCATAAAAATGTCTGACCCTGCACTCTGACCCCAAGCTTCTCTCTCCCTGTCTGTATGCCTGTGTGCCTAATTGAGAGCAAGCTGGGGTAAGCGAAAAGACAAATTTCGAATGCAAGAAGTTGTATATGGCTAATAAAATGATCTTATCTTATCATAAAAAGGTCATTAAGGCTGAGTCTGGTCAGTACTGAGATGGGAGACCTCTGACACCCAAGCTGTGTCCTTAACCAGAGGGTGGCTTTCTTCCCCCTGGGCCAGAATTTCCAAACCAGCACCTCGTTATGGTGTGCTGTGCTGTGCTGTGCTGTGCCTGTGCTGTAGCAGGCGTTGTACTTTGGATAAAATATTAAAACAAGGTCCTTGCAACCGACCGGTAGGGATATTAACCCTTATGTCAGTGGTGAATGAAGTGGATCTTCTCTCATGTGTAAAGTAATATGGGATCATTTGGGATATAAAGCACTATGTAAAAGCAAGAAATTAATATAATATTTTTATTAAAATATTACTGCTTTTAAAAATACAGACGGGCAGGTACTATTCTGTTTTTTATGTTGCACCTTGAGAGAGAATACTCAATTGAAAAGAGGTGATCTTAGAAACTTTCTATCGGACAAGACAATCCTGCCTCTGAAGGAAAAGGTAAAACTATTACTACTAAAAACACGAAATCTGCAATCTAATTCTCTCATGGTATGATTTTAATTCATCCAAATTAAAGTTACGCTGGTCTGAAAACAGAATTAATAATCTGCTTTCAAATGGTTACTAACAAAGATGAAAAGAAAATAAAGGATTTTTTAAGGAAAAAAACATTATACTGTACATTTTCAAACAAAAGAAGTGCCACAGTATACTGAGAAGTACTGTATACTTACACCCCTTATAGAAAGTACACCTTTACTGCTCTAGCCGACTTACCTGTATGGACAGCTACCCATAATTATTACAAATACATTCGCATTCAAGATATGGGGGGGGGGGCATTATTTCAAAGCCTCACCTTCAGAGTCCAAAACAGAAGAGAGTGATGCAGAGATCATGAGAAATCACCCTTGCAGCTGAAGAAGATAGAAGCTCACCTTCTGCAGGCCGGTTGGTTGTTGCCACAACAACCACCCCATTCTGGAAGAGGTTTTCGAAGAGCTGCTTTAAAATCATGGCATCTGCGATGTCGGTGACCTGTGAGAAGAAGAATACTGAAAAAATATTCTCTTTACCCGATGTGTGTTTTTTTTTTCTTTTTGCTTCTGTCACAGGTAGAGCACTGTGCCTTCTAATTATCATTAGGGAGAAAAAAAAGGCAGAAGAATGGTCAGGAGAGAAGGTATGACACCATCTTTTGAACTCACACATTTTCTTTACGAAACCTGTTATTTCCTTAAGAGTAGTTAAATGACTCAATCTTAACTTCCATTATGAGGTTACAGGTGGGCGCTGTAGAGAACACACCACCATTTTCTTGAGCTAATTAATGAGATCCAACATGAAGAACAAAATACCAGGTATTTTACATTTCTATAACCCTTTTCTGGCCAAGGCCCTTTCCCCCAAGCTGACTGTAAATGGTCACGAAGCTGCTTTCTGTCGAAATGAGGACAAGTAGCTGATGTATGGGAGCTGAGATAATCAACTGCTGTTGAAAATGGACTGATATGAAATAGAAACTATTACACAATGGCAGACAAAACAACTCCACAGATGGCCTAACACAAAAATAAGCAGCTTCATTGTCTTTTAAGTGCCTCACATTACTGTCTATGAATAATCACAGGCGGAGTGTTTTTTTTTTTATTTTTGCCTCCTGTAGGTGAATAAGAACTGAAACCTGTAAAAAATACCAATAAAAACACAAATTATTTCACCATCAAACATGTATGTGGCTCCACTTTAGCTTTATAATATAAAATTAAAAAATTGTATACACAAATACACAAACTGAAAAAAAGGAAAGAGACAAAAATAGACAGAGGTCCTTTTTCCCCCTTAATACCTTAGAATAATAACCCTTAAGACCGTAACTCTGTAGAGCTACATACTGTATGACTCAATAATGTGTACCGACAAAATCAAGGGCAGGTCCATTTCTGACACATTGTGCAGTTTTGCGAAAAACAGAGTCATCTATGATGTGTCAGCTAGCTGATAGACAGATGGACGTGAAACCACTCTTGTGCACCCTGGTTGAAACAGATCTGAAAGAGACGGTGCTGAATTAGCTCACAGGGCCCCATACTCACATAACCACACCTTGAATGGAGGAAGATGTGATCTGCCATTAAAAATTCTCTTCCTGAAAGAGCTCAGTCCTGCTTGCGGTGTTGCTTTCCAAAACTGCTCAAGTAATAACTCCAACAATTTTCAATGCAAGCAGCACAGTGCAGAATATGCACACACAGTGGCTCCCGCCAATATCTGTACAAGCTGGAGTCCCTCTACACATAGACCATACAGAAGAGTGTACTTTGCTGAGTGAAAGTCAATTCAGTATTCAGTAGATTCCCTACAAGGAGTGGGATCTAACGCACCTTGTTTTTACCACTTTCTGTCATCAGAAATGGGTATAACCACAAGGTGTCGACCACACTCATATCCTATTGATGCAATGTTCTTCAAACCTTATATCCATTTACTTAACCTTTAAATCAATACATATTATGTACATATACTTACATTAGCAAAGCTTTGTTTAAAGACTTTTCAAGCTTAAAGTGCAACAGTATGTATATGGAAAAATTGGAAATAATACTAAACTTTATTTTAAATAGTGCCCTTAAAAGAAGTCGTGGAAAACAGTAGGAAAGCAAAAGGGAAGTAACAGAACCACTTAAATAAAAGCCCTTCTAAACAGGTTTTGACTCTTGATTTGAAAGTGCACAGGGAAGGTGACTCTCTGATATCCAAATGGTTAAAACTCCAGAGCTTTGGGGCATAGCAGGAGAAGGGCCCCGTCACCCACAGTATGTACAGTAGGGGTAAAGACAGGAGACCAGCATTAGATGAACGAAGTTTGTGAGGTGGGGAGTAGGACTATAGTAAGTCAGACAGACGTCAAGCCATGTAGAGCCTTATAAGAGAGCATGAGGATTTTGAAGTCAACACGAGACCTGATAGGAAGCCAATGCAAGGACTCCAGGATAGGAGCAATATGATCACTTGCACAAGACCTGGCCAGGATTCTGGCTGCCGAATTCTTTACATACTGAAGCTTGATTTATTTGAGAGAAGAAGTGTTCACCAGCTTTCTTAGCAACCGTTAGCGAGAATATAGGATGTAGTCCTTCAATATTTCTAAGGTTGAAGAATGATGTTTTTACAATTTGGTGCAGAAGTGGATCAAACCTCAAGCCTGGATCAAATATCACCCCCAAGTTATTCATTTTAGATGAAAAAATTCAAGTACAGAAAGGATTACTGTGTTGGCTTTCCCTAGCTGAAGGGAGGTGCCGAGAAATAGGACTTTATTCTTGTCATAGTTCAAATGAAGGAAATGCAAAAAAATACATCTGTTCTAAACTAAACAACAATACCCTTCCAATGTACTCATATCCCTGACAACACAGAACGATAAACTAGAAATAACAGCAAGATTTTCAGAATGGATGTTTCTTGCTTTCTCCAATTTAATTATTTATGACAAATATGACTTTGCTCTTTGCTATGCTATTATGATTCATACGGTTATGGGTACACTAGTATTTGTAAAATGTATTAAGTGTTACGCAATCCATAACTAATTCTGCTTTATCTAATATATATTGAATTAAAAACATAAATATTAAAAGAGATTAATGCAACAAAACAATATGATTAAGCTACAGTATATATCCTTAAATTTAAAAAATGCAGCTGAAAGTATATTTCTAACAGAAGGTGGTTAAAGAGTCAATAATCTCAGGGTATAACAACAGAACTCATATCCTTATTCTAGCTGACCTTTGTACAGCAGGTAAAGTCTTATTCAGGTTAATTTAGGTTGCTAAGAAGGTAAAGTTTAGTTTAAAGCCAAGTGCCGTACATGTGGTGTTTCTTACCCTAGTAAGAACCCCTGCTGTTGTACTCTGCACAAGCTGTAATATTGAAAAAGCATAGCATGTAAGATGGAAAAGTAAAGCACTGCAACTGTCCAGTCTAGATTAAATAAAATAAAATAAGGAAGTAATTTATCAGTCAAAGAAAGAAAATCTCCAATTTTATCAACATTTCAAAATTGATAAAAACAGTAATATCCGACAGATTTGTAATGTTTCTCAAAATGTAAATCAGAATCACATAAAACTCCCACATTCTTCGCCACAAAGTTGAACTTAGTGGTCAGACTACATGACTAAACAGACTAGTCTATTTTTGTTAGTAACACAACATGTGTTGTCTGAGGATTCAGAATGGCAAAAATTAAAAAACAAACACTGGAAACACTGGACTTTCAGCATCACCATCTTTGTAATTACTTTGAAACTCTAAGTATCTGCAGCACATCTGCACCAGTACTTATTTAAGACACTGTACATGTTAAATAATTACTCTTTGACAAAAGATGAGTCCAAAAGAAACACACAGCAGTGGAGTTTTTAGATTTAAAAGTAAAATGTGCTCAGATGTGAGACGAGGATGCGTAATCTGAGAATGAAATATGACATGTCTTACTGTATTTGTTTGGAAAACCTTAACCTTTCAAAAGGAGCAAGTATCTTACTTGACTAAAAAAAACACACTTTTCACCCTGGAAAAAGGGTGTCTGCAAATAAATAAATAATCATCTTTGGCAATAATTAAAAGCTTTAGAGAGTATATGGTACTTTTACAAAACAACAATAATATTTAAATCAGCATCCAATTACTAAAGCAAGAGTCACTTTGTGTACTGTATACGGGTGCCAAATTAGGATCTTTTGATCTTACAACCTTACTTACACAGCACTAGAGAAGAGTAATTTCACAGTCTAACTAAGCACAAGACAATAGCCGAAGCATTTTCTTATCCTGAGCTCTTTCAATACCTAGCATTCATTACAAATGGGGACAAAGGAGAAGGCTACAAATTACTGATAATGGTAGTCTGCTAATGAAGAGAATGGAGAAATTTCATTAGCATTTAAGAGAAAAGATTTTTATGACCTACAGTTGCTTTCCATTACGACTCACTTTAGAAAGAAAGAGAAAAAAATCTAATACTTCATTTACATGAGTGAGTGCCTGGGGCTCAGTCATCTGTTGATTGGTATGGACTCTTGTAATGCATTACAAACATAAGCATGTGTTTTCACTAACAGTATTAGCACCAACAAAAAGGAGCTTGGCTGTAATTTAGACTTTTAAATCACGGCAATCTTGGAGGATGAAAAACAAGCCTGCAGGGGAAAGTTTCAGAGCACTTGCATAAAGATACCTTTGATAATCCCTAAGAAAAACTGATATTGGGCTGTAGCTTGAACAGAAGGAGATAATCAGGGCCAATTAGATTTATCAGCACCAAGGTAGTAGAGAATCCATAAATATTAGCCACCGATCTTTTCTGGTAGGGGGAAAATAGCAGGGATGGTAACAGCAGAACATAAGATCGGGATTCTAATTCAAGAGGGCCACTTTCTTAGGGAATGATTTCTAAGGGGCCATAAGTGGTCCTAAAGGCAGCTAATGAGGACCTCTGAAGTACCATACGTTGACAGAAAGGTTGAAATGCAGCTCCTAAAAAAGTAAGAAAAGGGGGAATATAAATGAGCAGGCGATGTAAAATATCAAAAACACAGAAAGGATGAGGAACTGGAAAAAATGAATGTTTGAGTGCTAATGCCATTTATCTTTTGGTACATACAGTACAACAAGCATGCAAACATATGCCTCTCTGCCTGCCTTTCTGTTTTCTACATTCATCTGCGAAAAATCATTTCAGTTGTAAGAATCCTAATTTTAACAGATGAACAAGACATCCCTGAAGATAAATGCACGCTTGTCTCAGAACACCAGAAACCACTAGAGGGCTCCAGGTTTATTGGATTTACAGGCAATCCATTCTAGTTGTGTTTACAGCATAATCTGGTTTCTCCATTTTATGTCAAGTTAAATTATCTTAGCCCAATTTGTTCTTGTAACCTTTTCTCTTTATTTTGTACAACTAAGAAAATTCAGGGGTACATTAAGCATTTCAAAAGCTGTTGTTACACTAGTATTTCAAAATTGATCTTTGATCGGTTAGACAAAATGTATCAAGGCAATCAAATCAGATCTAAATATGAACTAACTCCTATAGTTTGCTACATTTGGCCACTAAAAAGAATTAATCATCATTACAACAGGGAGTCTCAAAATCGTCAGCACCAGATCAAAGCACTAACTTGAACTCTCACTTTTTCTCTTCCTTCTCCTCTGTTGATCATGCATGCAACAAATCCGACCACTGAATTTCAAAATTGTGATTAACACAGCAGTCAAAATAGCGAGTTAAAGCACTCAGAACATGGGTTGTGAGCCTTTAGATCACCTGTTAGAGTCAACTAATGCCACCACACGTGCTTTCTGCTTTCATTAACTTTAGAATTAAAACCACAGAGCAGATGACATCTGTTTTTACGTTACTATATTTAAATGCATTTAAGTTGAAAGTAGATCATCCTGTGCCTGCATTGCGTTTATTTTCTTCTGTCAGTCAAATGTTACAAATCAAGTAGAACTGTTTCTAAACATCTTTGGATTCTGTTATTTACAGACCGTGATGGGAAAAGATGTTTTACAGTTGCAAATTACATGCATAAGAGATTACTTCTGAAAAATAATAAATCGAGAGGAAATACATTTAAAAAGGAATCAGTCACAGTGATCTATTTAGTGTGTGGATAGTCACTGTATTACTTCTTAAAAGCAACTTCCCATAATCCCTTATATGTAACGTGTAACAGTAATATACTGTGTTTCTTTCACTGACATACTGTAGTCTATTCGTTTTAAAAGACAACTTAAATGAAAGTGACTAAATTGTATAGTTTAATAATTTGACTCATGGACACTGCAAATCATATCAGGAACAAAAATGTCAATACTCGTTACAAAGCAAAACACAATTAATGTGATCTCTAACGTTTCAAACTCAACAACTGTATCAGAAAAACAGAACACTGTCCTACTGTACATATAAAACAGCACTGGACTCAAGAAGAAACCTGTGCTAACAGCTGTTGATAGTTTTACGATGGGGGATTCTAGCCCTGGTCCTGGGGCACTCTGTATTTTGTGTTTTTTGTTCCAGCAGGCTTATAATTCCCAATCACATCAAAAACTATATTTCAGTTTTCTATCTGGGGTATGTTTGTAAATTTGCTTCCAGTGTCTACAAGATCAAATGGGATATGTAATTGGTATCAACCCCTTTCCCAGTTTCTGATTTGTCTCAGAACTGCCCTCCCTTCTGGTGTGTCAACTGACATACTTGAATAACTGTACCCCTGTACAAGAAAAACACTGAGGGACTGTCTGATACATTGTCTTTTCTACAATGCCTGTTCATCATCAACTGAACTCTTTTTTAGACCTGTAAAATTGAAAAAAGAGAGCAAACTCTTAAAAAACACACCAATGACAGGCATTCTCTATGCTGACACTTCTGGAACAGTACACTTGAAAACACATATTCTAAAAAACGAGTGCAGAAGAGGACAAGTAAAAGTCGAAACAAGCTAGCTAAAGGCGGCAGTCAGAATCAGGGGTTAACAGCTCACTTGCAATGAAATCCAGCCTCCAGATACAAGGTTGGGAAAGACAACTGCAAATTTGGAGTTACCATCTCTGTGAAAAAGATGCAATGTTTCTACCAGGGCCAAGGTGGCACTAACATACTTTGTCACTTTTAATGCTGGTAGATTTCTTGGATTAGTGAACAAGATCAATAGTCACAGCTTCTGCATTCCATAGTTCCCCTCTTGAAGAGATTGATTTACCAGAGTCAATGGGACGTGCGATTTACTGCTCATGAACTCATTGCCGCTAACGGTAAAAGCACACAAACAATATTTCAGGTGGGTAGCATGCGTAGGCTGCAAAGGAACAAGTAATAGGTTTATTCCATGCTGAAAAGAGAAGGAAGCAAACACACAACATTTCAGCTGTGGACCTTCTTCGGGTGAAGAAGGCGGCTCCACAGCCAAAACGTTGTGTTTTCTGACACATGTGAAAGTTCCATTTTAGACAAGCTCTACAAGCTCATCAAAAATCTGAAGGCTGAATGGTCAATTCTGGAATTTCAAGTTTGATTCCAAAGCCCAAAATGTTTCACTTTAATGGTCACACCATGGAAAACTCTCTTGAGGTCCTGTGTTAATGTGTCCATCTTATCATCAGGACAAGCTGCGCGTTAACAAACATCAACAAACTCTTTAAGTACTTTCGTTATTTTATTATATGTGCATATTTAAACCCCCTCAATTACTGCAATGCCAATAGCATTACAAACTCTTTATGCATTCCAACTTAAAGTGCACAATACGTGACGTACAGTCTTTAAAATACTCCCACATGAGATGGTTCGATCTACTTCAAAAAACCCAACAGCTGCACTTCAGCACTTCACATCAGCACACCAGTGGGCACTAAGTAATAAAAGTGGAATTTAAGGTATAAAGTGCTTTGTTATACATTATTCACGTATATTAATGAAACATGCAAAAAGAGAAAAATCTCTCAACACGTGTGCTAGCATTTATAGAGAAAAGTTTAAACTTTTACATAGAAGTAATATGTGATGTTCACAAACCTTAAAACATCTCAGCATGAGCACCAACTCCCCTGACCATAATATGAGACGTAAAATTTCAAGTTTGCTCTTTGCAACACAAAGTACTGCTCTCACTACATAAACTGTTTCTGCTGATTCCTGTATTTGCTCATTGGAAATTGAACGAGCATGAAGACACCAACTGATTTGACAGTCAAGAATGTGATCAATTACCAAATTGCTTATTTTTTCATATACAGTATACTGCATGATGACAGGATTTGACAAAACAAGCTAAGAATCATGTATCATTTGACACGATTGTGTGGTGTATTCTTATCTTTAGAGATGACAAAAAAAAACTTTGAATTGACATTGCACAGCATGTCTCATTTTTGTGGTGTCAATCTAGGACAGAAGCAGTTAATAAGACACCTCATACTGTAAATATTTTTAACACAAAGTTCTTTTCGCATGTGTATATCTAGAAATACCAGGCAGGCAAATGAGCAATCCGCGTTAATTATTTATAAATAATAAAATCCAGTTTTGACCAAATGAGATGTTCATTCTTGATCTGTCAGGATCTCAAAATAGGGACTTCACTGATTAGAAATATCTCTTTGTGTCCTCACCTGAAATTCATCAAAGCACAACAAGCAGGCTTCCTCACTGATCTCTAAAGCTACTGGTGCAATGGGGTCATAAGACTTGGCCATTAATCCAGGCTTCCTCTTTGGCAGAGTTTGTTTAAGGCGATGGATTCCTATGAAATGACAAAGACAGCTCATTAATTGGTTATATCTTCACAGTCATAATTACACTAAAACACGCTAAAAGTAATTCTGCAGATTCTTGCATTACAAATAAGAATATAATTTACTGCAAGCGCAATTTACTACAAATCAATGAAGTAGAACTGTATCTGTGAAAGAAATACATCTCAACACTGTATGAAACAAAAGGTCTTAGCTTTCAATATTTACTAATTATGACACCACTCGCCTGCGCAAGACTAGGATTTATGTGAAGCATATTTAATTACTGTTGTGTTCACTTCAGATTTATGAAAACAGTTAATAATGAATAATGAACTTGGAAAACTTCAACACGTTGATGTAGGAGAAGATGATATAAATGAGTAATCCTGTTCAAGGAATGATATTCTTATCTTTTAAAATACAATCAGCTAGAGTTAAATCGGCACTTGTTTTCTTCAAACTTTACAGTGAATGCACTGAATTTCTAAATTAGTATTTTCTATCTGCAGGTAAACCCCTTCTTAAATAAAATTACAGTAAGACCCATTCAAAATCTAGAATGTTTTCTAGAAAAAGTAAGTATGCCTGTTTGTATCAGTCATAGCTCTGCTCTCAAGGCAATCTTTCTTGTCTAAATTTGGTGTATACTGTAACAGTAAGTTAACAATCAACTCATAATGAAGTAAACTGGAACAACTACAGTACGGTGGAAACTAGCACTAGCCAAGGGTATGTGATCAGATATGAAATCCTGATTTAGCTAATCCCTGACTTTGAGAATTATTCGGGTACAATCCAGCTCTGTGGTATGATAAAAAAAAGTTGAGAAAACTCACTTTTATGGACGTCTAACATAAAACCATGAAAATGGACCCTCTTTTTCTTGTCAACCGCAGCATGAGAATAAAACATGTCCATTACCATAGTTTTCCCTGTACCTGGAACACAAACATTGCATAATTACGCAGAAAGGCATTAATAAATTTATTTAATTATAATTATACATTCTTATGTATGATATTTTAAAATATATATATATACAATACTTCACAATGACAGTATTTGTTCAACAGTATAAAATGTTGAGAGATAAAACTGTTCCCTCCTGGGTTATAGCACTGTCAGGTGGTATCAAGCAATACAATCAAGCACTTTTTCTGTGAAAAATGTGTGACAATCTCTTTATTTATTCAGATTTAAACAAGTAAGAAGTAATGGCACAAGAAAAAGCACCTTCATGAATATATAATTTAGGACTAAACCAGAACAAAACCTTAGTTTCTCATTCAGATACCCAAGAAACAAACTTGTGATCTTCTGTTCAGTCTTGTGAAAGTTACAAACAGGCTTGGACATTCTGTGTGCACACATAAATGTCGACATCGCTAATTGCCTATTTGCCAGCGAGGAATAGCCTTATTGCAAAGCACTTTTGCAAGTAAAGAAAGCAAAATGAAAGCACTGACATCCTAACTTGCTCTCAGTAGCTGTTGTTACACCTGGTCAATTCAGTGTAGCAGTCGCACCCATTCGTGAGGTTCTTTCCCAAGGAAATAAACATTGTCAGATAATTTTGGGACCGCCTATCTGCCACTGACTTGCCTTTGTCTTCTTGGATAAAGCGTCTATATATTGTGATCTCAAGCATCCCATCAATCTCCCTTTATTGAGAGGCTATTTTCCACTTTTGAAGCAAACAGCCTTGGAGGTTTTGCTTAAGTGGCTGCAATTAGAGTCACTTTTTTAGGAACAGACCCCCTTCTGGTGTTCAGCATCAGAAAAGGAGGAAAAGAGGAAACTTAAAAGCTGGTGCTGACTCAATGAATAGGTGGAGCTCCGGGGCAAATACTGAACAGTATCCTGAGAAACTACTGCGCAATGATCTTCCATTCCTACTTAACTTACCCACATCGCCATAGATATAGAAGCCTTTCGGAGGCTGAGGTTTTGTGAAAAGCTGAAAAACAGAAAAGACAGATGAAACTAAAAATCTTTCCTTGTGATTTAACATAAATATAGTTCAATACCACATTTTATTTCTTTGAATTTATCATTCCAGAGGCTGATGGGTGTTGTCGCTTAAGTGCGATCCAATATTATTGCATTGTCTTCATGTCTAAAGCACAAAACATCCCTTTTCTCAGTATTCCTCCCGTGTCAGTTGAGGAACAATAATAATAAATGTCTGTCATGTGTAATCAATAGCTTATATCAGGCTTTTTATGCATGAAACACTAACAATGAACAGAAAGACACAATATTCACAATCCTGATTAGACATTTTAACAGAACCAAAAGAAATGTAGTCTAATGCCAAACCTTTCACAGGCTACAGTTATATTGACTGAAACAAAGTGATTAAAAGGAGTTAAGAGGAGTAAATTTAAATTAGTCAAATTTAAAACTAATTGAGGCAGTTAAAAATGGTAAAGACTTCAGCAATCAGCCATCTGGATTGTGTTCTGGAAACTGTGGCACCCCAAAACAACAACTAAGTGGAAGAACTACTGGACTCACTTTGCAAAAACTATAAAAAGGCAAAAACATCTTAAAAAACTAATGAGTTATTGCCAGTCCGAAAGGCTATGATACAAAACCAAAGAGGAAATGATCTCATGGCACCACTTACAGTGCATTTTGATTCAGATAATCACTCGTGCTGTATTTACATTTTCTGAGCTTTAATACGGTTTTAAATTGAAAAGTGGACATATCTCTCCATAGCAAAAATGTAGTAGGATCTGCACCAGAACAATACTACAATGCTTTGAAGTTCCCATGTGGCTCTGTGCCAATAGTCCAAAGCAAGAAAGAGGTTCTGAAGAGGGATATGGTTGAAATGTTTCCGACAATCATTTTAAATAAGACGAACTGGGAGGGTGTGCATGAGTGGAAGAGAAAGCAAGCAGAGAAATATCATGAAAAATATCATTAAAGTACCCATGACGTTCCAGGAATATCAGCTGGGAAAGTCACACAAAAAAAGTGTTCTGTGATGTGCATGAAGTTGACAGAAATTAAATGTAGGCATTTTAAACTATTGCATGAGCTTCCCATCAATGCGTTAGTTGGTTCAATAAGAAATCATTATCTTGGATGCTGAAAGTCATTCCCTTCGGGGCAGATTCTAACCAGAACATGTTAAATGAGGTCCATTTGTTTTTATGAACTCTTCCATGACCAGCTGGCGGCTGTGAAGGACAACAATGAGCAATAACGAATCTCTAAAGTCACTCAAAGTCGCACTTGTTCATGCTTGGTTGTATAACGCGTTGTTCTATCACCGATTCACTTTTGAATTCTTGTTTATTTGCTATATACCCCAAAGGATCCTTTTTACTTGTCCTTTTAATGCAAAGTAACTTTTGCGCAAACTCTGAACACTTAATCAAAAATGTATATTTGTTGTGATCTCTTTCTTCAGCTCATTCTGCTACTCATTACTGTATCATAGCTGCCTCATGTTTACTAGTAGGAGAACAGATTTGATGCAGTGCATTTGGTACTAATAATGTCTAATTAGGGGATAAATACAAACATGCTACCTACTCCTACATTAGAAATGCACAATGACAATTTGGTCAATATTTTAAGCAAGTGCATTGCTGTTCTCCAGCAATGTCTCTAATCAGAGTACAAAAGCTGAGCTGCAGAAGTGGAGAGCAAATTAAAATGGCAGCAGCATGACCTAATTCAAACCAGTGTAATTGCTAAAGAACTAGAGTTGGAAGCATAATTCCAAAGTATCGTTCAGCATTTAAAAGCAACGTCCAAACAATAAAACCCTCTCATTATAACTGAAAGACACAATAAAATAAAACAAAAACAGCAGGAGGTCATTTTCAAAATCTGAAGTCCTCATCTTGAGTACTATCTGCAACAAGCTTGCTACTAAAAGGTCTCATCTTACATATAATACTCATCTAAAGACATACACCGTATTTCTGGTCAATTATTTTTTTTTAGGTAGAATTAACAACATATACACTTTGTTGGATTGCAGAGACAAAGGTTCCTGCATTCTCAAAAATGTCTTAATTACAAAGTCTTCCATTTAATTTACAATTAGTGTCCCCTTTGTCAAAAATCTTTACATCTCCTAAATGCAACTCAGTAAAATGCATTATGTATTTTTTTAGGTATTGGACATGTACTGTTTTTAAAATAAATAACTACAACTATTACGGCAATATTACTTTTCTTGTTATTATATTGTATGATCCATAATAATACAGAATCGTGAAAAGTAAATTTAATTTCAGCAAGCAGAACACCTGGTGATGCTTTTAGAGTATCAGGTTTGAAGTGGAGTTACTCTTCAGCAAGCACAGAGGCTGGACACTGCTGGAAAAACCCGCCTTCAATTAGGCAAGAGAACACAGCCAAACAAAAGACAGTCCTTGTGAAAAGAAAAATCACTTTGACCAAAAGGTAGACGGCACCTAAACACAGTAAAACAAGCTGCATTTCAGGAGTCATATTCAGTTTTAAGCATGAGCCATTAGATGTTTGTTTATTACATTATGAACGGCATGTTCAAGCCCAATTCCAGCTGGTACAAAGGAATGATCTTAAAAAGTTATTTCCGTTTTTATTTTGTGTAAACATAATTAAAGGAACACTATTTTCTTGCAGCCTTCTCAACTCTTAACTCCGAGATATGCCATTATATTTCTCTAACACACTGACTTTGCTAACGGCGCACATTTGTTTACACATCTGTAATAATTTTCAACAGTTTTTTGTTTACATTTCTGATGTAATATAAACATAAATTGAAAATTATTTGTCTACTTTATGATATCAGTTGGTTTGCTCAAAATGTGTACATTAAATACAAAGGCTTCCAACAATCTTTCCTTTTTCTTAGCCGAAGAGTTTTTAATCCGCCCTCTATGTGGTACGCTGAGTATCCAAAGTGTCCATAACAGTTTCGAAAAACATACAGCTTTGCCAGGAAACAAACTATTATAATCCCGACTTGCATGAGTAAGTGCCGAAGTGCACTTCATAGGCACAGACTTTTTCTAATATTCTGCCTCTGTGCCTCAAGAGTTCTACCTATCAAATCACTGTGCCTCATGGAATGGATGAGAAACCTTTAGCTGCTGTCTGACCAAGACATTCTAGATTTTAGAGCTGATGATGCGACATGTTTAACTCCTTCTCCACCTCTCATGACGTCTTTTCTGCCCTTCCCTAAATGGCGGGATCCTCCCCAGAATCGCCTCTCTTGCTCCTGTGGATGGACCAAAGCCTGTTGAGATCCCTCTGGCTTGTCTCAGTGACTGTGTTACTGAGACAGCTCTCACAGACTACATTCTCTTCTGCAGTAAGATCGGCAAGTGTGTTTTCCCTCCACTTGTCCCTGACCTTCTTTCCTGTTGCTCAGCCACACTGCCCCTGATACAAAGCGAAACAAAAAACCAAGGGGCCCCCAGCGGGAACAGCAATCCAAAATACCGTTCTTCTTTCAAAATATTTTGATAGCACAAAATATGGCTCCACGATCACAAGCACATATTGTAAATAAAAAAATATATGGAGTAGATGCTCTATTCTTCAGAAAAACAAAAAAAAAACAAATCCATGACACGAGGCAGCACCCTCTCCTGTAGCTGCTCCAGTAACACCTCCATTAGCAACCTCGAATGTCCTGTAGTTCCATCTGTCCCTTCTTTCTTTGACAACCCTCCACAGCCTACTTGACAAAGGCTCATCTCCAACCTTTCCTCTTCATCAGTGTCCTGCTAGATCATTACTGAAATGAACCTACAGTATGCAGGACACAGGACTCGAAGCCAGCAGTGGTCACTGGTCAGCATCCCTTTAATCATTTCTGTCAACACTGTTATTTCTCAATTTCTCCTTTAAAATGATTGTCGCTGACAGAAGCCACCTTCTTAGGATCTCTTCGTCACAAGATGAGATCTGTCGACGTTGAATTCAGCTACTTTTTCTGGCTAACTTATTTAATGATCAGTTCTGAAGCTGCTGAGCAGATTGCAACAATAAAGATAATTAAACTATAGCATATTTATTTTTTGTTCAGTTGTAAGCTACAGCCTGCTTAAGAAATCAGTCTTTCAGAATAAATAAATGTGCATTTATTAGCTTTTCATAAATGTGCATGTACACATTATAGTGCACCAAAATGATTATATTGATGACTAATCAGAATCACTTCAACTGATGCTAGGTAAAGGCAAATTACCTTTCTAAATGATTTGGAATGTAATTGGTTAAATCTGATCACAGTTACAATCCCCTTTATAAAAGGTGTCTACACTTACAGTATGCAACAAAGGCAGTGAAAGTTTTTTTATTTTTAATTATTTTTCCTAAACATTACGCATTTGTTTTTCACTCAAATATTGTTGGTTACAAGATCTTATTAAATGTGAAAAAAAAGGTTTGACATGATTTGTCTTGATTTCAGCCTTTACATCAGCAAAAGCTGAAATTTCAATAAAGGTGTGTAGACTTTTGATATCCACTGCAGGTGGCTCTAAACAAAATTAGACTATAATTACTTTATCTAAATGTCTACCAATCAGCTCATTTTATATCAATCAGGCATCAAACACTGTTAAAGAGAAATCTGATAACAATACTGTGGTTTAAATAAAATGTGGTGAACACCAACTGCTAATGCCAAGCTCTGCATATGATGTCACACTTTCAGCCTCACTCTACATCTTTTGTTCTCCTAATCACAAATATCCAGGTTGTAAAGTCTAGTAAAAGACACTCTATAGATAAGAGTAGTACAACTTTAAGCTATCAATCTTTTATCATTATCCTAGATTCCCCTGAGTGGTATACTGTATTTGTCTCCTTGGTATAGAACATACTTTCATGGTTGATAATGTATGTGTTTTACCTAACAAGTACAGTTTTGACACAAGTACTAACCATACTGCAAGTGTAATCTCATTTCTTTCTTTCACATTGACTAATATCAATGTGTGCTAGGTTCATATCACCCAATCACCTCAACTTCACCCTACAGTAATGCTAACACCATATGGATCTCATGTAACTCTTGTTTTTAATGGTTATATGATTTTATTCACTGCAGACTTGGAGTGTGTACCAGCATTGTGTCTATATTTCTGCATTGTAACAGCACTGCCAGTACACGCTGCTATTTAGTACTTAATAAATATATTTTTTTGTTCTTGTTTTAGTGAGGAATTTATTACACTTTCAACATTTTTGAACTCGCCTAATTATAACTTTGCTATTTTTATTTTACTACACTTGCTTACAATATTTGCTCCCTTTACACTTAAACCTGATGCTGTGTAATGCTGTTTAAGTTGCACTGAACAGGAGCATATGTTGAGCAAATAACTTATAGCATCCTGCGGCCAGTAAAAAGCAGACTGCCCAAAAAGCTGTCTTATATTAAGCGGAATGAACACAATTCCCCATTCCAGAAACATTGACACAGTCCACCATTCTGTATCAAACTCTGGTCTATTCTTCTGAACTTCCCAGCCCACTGTAGCGTTGATCCAGGTTGGCATTGAGATGCGGCGATACCTGTGTCACACATGGCACTTAAAGTCACATGATTCTGAGATTATATATTCAGAACTGGGCTATTGTTGCTTGACTGTGACTGCCTCAGTCTGCAAATCTCTGCTGGTCCCTCACCTTTACTGGTTTTCCAACCTAAAATGTTCATACAGTAAGTCTGCTTGCACAACTGTCATTATATTGCTGGGGTTTAAGTTCTTCAAGCTGTTCCCTTTATTCCTAAAAGTTTAGTTTGTCGTACATTGAGTTTGTTGTACATTGGGTCTCGTACACTGATTGCTTTTTTGACTACTACTTGCAAGCTTCAAATAATCTATTTTCACCAATGTTTTTCTTGATATTTTACTTTCTGCAAAAAGTCTAACTCTTCTGTGCTTTTAGACATGACTCACCCTGAAGAGCTGGGAGACTAAAAAATGCATAGAATATATTTTAAATGTCTCCCACTTTTTTAACCAGAATAAACACTTCCCCCTGCTGCAACACATTTCCTATAGTGAATACCAGTTGTGATCAATCATTAAATCGGTTCCTATTCCAGACATTACCTTGTAATTCATAACCGGCAACCCACTGAAGCTTAGCAGGAGTAAGCCTGGCCAGTACCTGGATGGGAAAGCTGAGGTTGCAGCTGGAAGAGGTGTTAGTGCAGCCAGTAGGGGGCGCTCACCTTGCTGTCTTTGTGGGCCATAATGCTCCAGTATTATGACGGGGACACTATACTGTAAAAAAGCACTGCACTTCAGATGAGATGTAAAAATAAGGTCCTGACTCTCCATGGTCATTAAAAATCCCAAAGCATTTCTTGAGAAGAGTAGGGATATAACCCCTGTGTCCTGGCCAAATTTCCCCATAGCCTTTACTAGTCAGGGCCTCCTAACAATAATCTAAGAAGTGGCTTCATCACTCTGTTCTCCTCCCCACTGATAGCTGATGTGTGGTGAGCGTACTGGCGCAATATGGCTGCCGTTGCATCATTAGTGGTGGAGGGGAGTCTCCATTACCTGTATAGTGCTATGAGTGGAGTTTCCAGAAAAGCACTATACTGTATATGTGTTAGGATTATTTATTATTTATATCTTACCTAGGTAGATTTTCTAGATTGCTGAATGTGTGCTGCCCTCAGTTCTCACCTTTGACAGGAAGCTCAGGGGAGTGTTGCTGTATCCTTTCAGGGCCTTGTGCAGCTGATCTAGATGCTGAAGAGCAACTCTCTGCTGCTGATCTTCTCTCAGTGCACCTGCTTGGATAAGGCGATTGTAATGCTCCAGTGGGCCACTGAAGCTTGAAGAATCACCAGGAGGCTGGCTTTCAATGGTCTGTGTAGCTGCAGTGTTTGCAACATGGACTGCATGGTCTACAATAAAGAAAATGCACAAACACTTTAATTATGGCATTTTAGCCCAGTATTAGCTTGAAACATGCATGCTTCTAAAGTTAACTCAATAGGTTGTGCTTGCATCTTAAAAACAATGTGGATGTCCCCACTACTAAAAAATAATAATCTTTGTGTGTGCATATAAAAATGCATTATAGCCTGCCTCTCCGGTTATTTCATTTTTGACATTATGCAAGAAAATTAAAAAAAAACTTTAAAGTAAAGAAAAAACTTTTGGGCAGCTGTTTTCCTGCCGGGATTCGCCGGACAAACAGAGGATAATTTTACTGTGCGAAAGACAAGGGTGCTACGAAACTAGAGTCAAAGATGGTGTCGTCACATTCTGTTAAAGGTTCAGTACCACTATGTTCTACTACTAGGTCAGGTGGTTTAATGCGTTTTTAAAAACACGTTACTGGAATCTGCTGTCTGGAATATTGTAGTGGGTGCATAACGTCTCGTACAAAAATATTTCAAACTTGTTACGCTTAAACTTTAATTGAGTAAGGCAATACTCTTTTATTTCTTCAGTGGCATTCCAAAGGACTTTTCCTTAATGAATATCTGTTTTGAAAGGACGATTTGCCAAGGATCATATTAAGAACTTGTCGACTGACATTTCAGTATTTTAGTTATTTTAAAGCCTGGAATATTTTATATACGGTTTGCTACACCGCTGCCATCAACCCGCAAGTTTTATTCCATTTTAATCCGTACGCTAAAAAAACACTTCTGTCAGGTGACAGCAGCACTTTTAGAAAATAGAACGTTTTGTTTGAACAAACATCCAAAAAGAAAATAGGTGCTCACCACTTAAGGAATTCCGTGATGTACAGAAGAATTTCTTTTGAACTAAAATGTTTTCTTTATTTAAAAATCGAATGAACCATCTTACTGTAGCCAAGGGTAACAAGGGCGCAGCCATTTTCTTTCAAATGATTTCAAACTTTATTAAGATACAGCACAGGGCAGAGTATATCAGAAAATGTGTTTGTTCAGCAATTTCTGTAATTTTGTATTTGTAGATTTTTTTGTTCAAACGTTACATTTTAAGAAAGGGTTAGTGTATTCTGTTTTTCGTTCACGATAATATACGTCATAAGGACCAATTATGTTGCTTATTTCTAAATGATTCTAGATGTTTCTAACTGATAATATAACGTTATTTGTAACACAATAACATATAACAAAAACATCAAGCAGATTCAGAAATAGCCAAATAATGGTGAAAGTCTTATATGTAGTGACAAAGCTTTACCTACTGGAAAGCGACTTAATTTAGGAGCTATTTGCCCAGAATCACTTAATAATAATAAACTTAACACTAAGTCTTGCTTGTTAATCTCATTCCCCAACATGTTTAACTTAAGGCATGTGATTTTATTTGACATAGTTTTATATTTTCAAAAATAATTCTAAAGCTTTTTCACTAAATTATTTGTGAATGTGTTTTCATGGGGTTCATTTATCGGCTGATTTCATTGGCTACAGAAAGCGCCGACAGATCAGCAAGCGTTCCCCAGGCTAAAACTACATTTCCCATCGGACCTTGCGATGCGAGCCCTTTCGTAGCCTGCAGTTTGTGCCAGTCAGCTGCGCCTCAGCTGATCGGAAACAGAAAACGGATCCTTCAGGAGGTTAGAGGGAGATCTGTGTGTGAGCAATGGCTGAGGCCATAGCCGATACCAGGAGGTTGTTGTCCAAGCCACAGAACTTGAACGACGCCTATGGACCCCCTAGTAACTTTCTAGAGATTGACGTGAGTAACCCACAGACGGTCGGAGTAGGCAGAGGCAGGTTTACCACCTATGAGATCAGACTGAAGGTGAGTAAGACAGACCTGGCCTTCTGTGGGCAGACTGGGCAGACTGGGGCTGGAGAGAAAAGCAATCAGATACCTAAAAGAGACTGCGTGATATTGCTGTTTATTCCTTCTTCTTCATCATCATCTACTGTAAGAACACCGACATGATATTGAAGTAAATGCAAGAATGTCAGCTTTTTACTGGTGTTGGGAATTTTCCGGTTTATCTTCCATGAGCAACATTTCTTGTGACAGTTCTATATTAATCTTGTATTTCTATGTTATAATACGCTACGTAACCTAAACTAATTATGTAAAATTCGAATAATTCTTAATATTAATACTTTTAGTATTAATCATAGTAAACAGTTATTTAGTTTAGCTGAGGTGGGTATTGGAGTCCCTCATTATCTAACTAAAACAAGTAGAAAAGGAGAAAACCTAATGCAGAATTGTTTTGTTAATCAACACTTAAGGGAGATATTAGCTCTTGTCTCCTGATGTTACACTAAATCCTCTCTAGTTTATTTGTAGCCACACCCAGTTCATTCATAATATGACTAAATCGATTTGTGGACAAAGCCTTTATATCCCTTAACTACAACTGTCACTCACTGTGACATGTTGAGAGAATCAGTCCTGCAATCAATCAGCAATGATATGCTTTAAGAGGGATAATTAACAGAATTTCAGCAAATAATCATCTAGGTCACTTGTCATAAACTACTAGTGATTAAGACTACCAGTTCATAAGTACAAAATAAACTTGTTTAAAAAATGTTTTTTCCTTGATACGAAAACTCAGGTTTTACCAAATACTGGAAAGGCATTGAAAAAATGCTTTGACATTTGTCGAGAGAAATGTCTTGTGTGCACAAATGAGCCTATAACTATCTGTTGAAGTGTGTATATATATCGCCTTTACATCTAGTGCACATCCCTGAAATCTGTCAGACAAAGTGTCCAAGTTTTTGCTTACTGTCAGAAGTTGCAAGAAAATAACTAATGATGCAAATGATAATTAATGATAATAATAGAACTTGTACAAGTGTATCATACCAGTGTATAATACGAATGTATCACTGTATATATATTTAATTTACATTTATATATGTGCATGTACCTGTATGTGTACTGTATATGATTATGTATAAGAACATACAGTATATGCATACTTGTCAGGTACAAGTAAGCTGAAAAGCACAGTATAGGTCCAGAGACCAGCTCGCTCTTGTCACGTCTTAGAGCGAAAAGGACTTGGATCAAGTGTTCCAGCACCCACAGTTTGGGGAAATATAGCTGACAAATTAAATTTTTTACACCCTTGATCAGAATGCAAAAACTGAGTCGGAAAGGATGATAAGGGAATTTAGACATTAGTGTGCGTCACTCAAAGGTCCTGATTTGAATACAGTGGAACACTTGAGCAAGTTTTACAATTTTACAGAGAAAACCCAAGTCTGAGGTAAATTCTGCTCGATGAGCATGGAGTAGTTTTGACTTTCTTTCAGAACTGACTTGACTTGTACCCCAAGGAGTTCAAACGTAAAAAAAAAAAACATATAGGCTTATTAGTATGATTCGCTATATAGTTTTATTTAGTTGTGAATGCAGTTGACCTTGATCATCTTTTATAAGTGGCTAAAGTTATCATTTAGTAAATCATTAACAGGCCTCTCAAAAGCAGTAAGTACACTTAAGACAATGGAATGTCAGTCTTACAGCAAATGTAATACCAGAAATATGATCAAGGTTTTACCATGAAGGATAGGGTAGAGTTCTTGTAAAGCTCTGTGAGGCATGTTATCAATTAAGATTTTACGAATTCCAAAGACTTCAAGCACAGTATGCACCATGGCGTCCACTATAACGAAGGTCACATTTCAAACATCTAAATGGAATAACCTTTTCTAACCAACACTTTAAAATATGATAGATAATAATTTACTAGGAAGACTTGCATTGCAGCATTTACACATAGGAGAATACAAATTCTTGGCCTTTGCACCAGAGTAAAAAAGAAAGCCAAACCACTCATGCAGAGTATGAGTGACTACAGCAGTCAGGATGTTTTCACAGGATGTCTTAACAGGAAGTAGTATTCCCCTCCCACTCATTTCCTTCCTTCTCTGTGGAAATTGGAAGGGGAGCTCTGAAATGAATGCTTTCATCAATCCTGGTTCCATCATTGATAGGTCAAGGTTCAGGTGAGTAGGTTAATACTGATGACACATCCCCAAGGCAGATGAGACACAGCACCAGGGTGATTATTTGCGGGATAATGGTGTATTTGTGCAATGTATGCTTGAGCTAAATAAACTGTAATATTTTCATATTTTCATATCATGCAGTATCCCCAAGGGGAAAATTATTTTACAACATAAAAACATCATCCACAAAGAGTCCAGGACACCTGTTTCAGATGAGAAAGTAATTGTTTTATATTATTCAAGAGTGAGATTGCATGGGGCTGAATGATATCCTAAGTCTATTTCTTTCATGCCAGGGGACACAGAGGCATTCCCCACATGGCAGGAATATAAATAAACAGAGGAGGGCGTGAGCCACACACTTCATAACACTGTTGTAATGCTCAGACTTTGCACCAGGTGAAATCAAAACTTCATCCCAGCTGCATATACATCGAGACGCCTCAATCAACAAAACGCTACCCTCCAGTGACTTACAGGGGTTTAATACTGGTGCGGAGTGGTCAAAAGTCTGATTTGGTCCTATAAGACAGTCTTAATACAGAAAAATACACAAATGAAAAAAACTAAATAAAGACTGCTGACAAGAACAGGTTAATTACACTGAACGATTGCAGGTGTCAGTGTAGCAGGGTGGTGAATCTTTTAAAACAATTTATATGCTATATCATTTCTGATTATATCACTTTTGTGGCTGCCAAAACAGAGACAAACTACTTCCGACTTGTCCTTTCCATTCTTTGTATTGGAAGGCGAATAATAGTTTTACTTCTCAATGAACGTTTTGGTGCACGTTGGTTTTTCTGTTTTGCACATTTA